GGTGTCATTACTATTTTCTTCTCCAGGCTTTCTTCAATGTGACAGTGAGCATACCGAACTGCGAGAAGAAAAGCAGGCACCTCACCATAAAGCCCGTGGGCCTGGGCGACACCCTGGAGATCCTTGTCTATCCAGAATGCAGCTGTGACTGTCAGAAAGAAGTAGAAGTGAACAGCTCCAAATGTCACCACGGGAATGGCTCCTTCCAGTGTGGGGTGTGTGCCTGCCACCAGGGCCACATGGGTCCTCACTGCGAGTGTGGTGAGGACATGTTGAGCACAGAGTCCTGCCAGGAAGCCCCAGACAAACCCTCGTGCAGCGGAAGGGGCGACTGCTACTGTGGGCAGTGTATCTGCCACCTGTCTCCCTACGGAAACATCTACGGGCCTTACTGCCAATGTGACAACTTCTCCTGCGTGAGGCACAAAGGGCTGCTCTGCGGAGGTAGGTTTCCTCTACATTCACCTTACACTGCGCTCTCCTTGAGTATCCAGAAAGGTCTTTGCATGCTGTATACCTTCCACAGGTTTCTGTGCACAACAGATGCTCAATAAAATACTTGCTGGTGGATTGAGTGGGATGGGTACATTTTCTGACATGGAGTGAAAACTCTCCCAACTGAGCTTACATCTCTATTACTGTTTTCTTCTGACAAAGCCACGTCTTAAGAGTCCTGGTGACACTGTTGGGTAAGCGTTGGACTGGCCAACGTGGCTGCTAAAACCCGCCAACTGCTAAGAGAGAGAAAGATGCGGCTATCTGCTCCCCTAAACACTTATGCCCAGGAAACCCCCTCTAGGGTTGCTGTGAGTTGGAATAGGCTTGATGGCAGTGGGTTTGGGACCGTCAAGTCTGCTTGACTCATGCAGCCTTCTTGTGTATCAGAGAACTGTGCTCTGGAGTTTTCCTTTCTTCTTTTACTTGTGAATTAGGCGACGATTTACAGAGCAGGTCATCAGTTATACCTTCAATAATGTGTATGTGTTTGGTTTCTATTTGTGTTAGTCTGGTAGACTAGAGAAACAATTCATATACTATACACGCACATGTGTATAAGAAAGACCTTTATATACAAGAGAAATTGAATATTAAGAAAGCATCCCAGCCCAGTCCAGATCAAGTCCATAAGTCTGGTATTAGCCCATATGTCTGATACCAATCTATAAAGTCCTCTTCAGACTCACGAAACACATGCAATGGTGCCGAATGCAAGAAGATCACATGCCAATGGGTGGGAAGTCTTGTGGATCCAGTGGCACTGTAAGCATCTCAGCCCTGACAGGGATCTCCACATGGTTTCTCCAGTTCCCAGGGCTCTGGTTGCATCAGGGTCGGTCCATGTGGTTTCTTCTCAGAAATGTCTTACAGGGAGTGAGCCTTGTCAGTAGAGAGTCTCCAAGGTAGGGAACAGAGAGAGAGTATGTCCTTAGCCTCCAAGGAGGAAAACCAGGAGTTCCCAGAATCTTCAAGAGAAGGCCATGTCCACACAGAGGCCTCATTGGCTATATCCTGATTGACAGGCTAGACTCCACCCCTTCACTCTTAACCCTCAAATGGACACCAGATTATGTAACTACCACATTATCCATTCATCTTGCTCCTTTCAACGCACCATCACCCACTCTGCTTCCTTCCTTGGTTTTCTATTTCCATTTTCCTTTCTTTCTTAACCTGCTGAGCCTTGACAGTGGGTAAGTGCTGCTCTTTTGATCTCTTTTTTTTTTAACCATAGGGTTGGTCCATAGTCTTATGTCGCACCTGACATTTTTTCTGATCACCAAGCCTGGTCTTCCTTAGGACCTTCAGTTTGGGTCCCCATTTTTCTCCCACTCCATCCAAGTAAAATTTTTCAACCAGTTGAAGAAGTCCTGGAAGCACTCACTCATCTATGTCAAAAAGTTTGGAAGATAGCTCCTGGCCTGCGCACTGGAAGAGATCCATATTGGGCCCATCCCAGTTTATAAAAGGTAACCAAACAGAGTGCAGCAGTCATGGAACAATGTCATTAATACCACATGCAAGTACAATTTTGCTGAAGACATTTCAGAAATGGTTGCAGCGGTACACCAACAAAGAACTTTAAAATTCAAGCTGGATTCAGATTCAGGGATATCATTGCTGCTGTCAGATGGATTTTAGTTCAAAACAGAGAATACCAGGAAGATGTTAACTGGTGTTTATTCGACTGTGTGGATCATAACACACTACAGACAACATTGGGAATACTGGTGGAACTTCCCACACTATGTCCCCCTTTCACTCTTCATGCCTGGAACTGAACTTAGCCTCATGGCTTCATTTTCAGCCAAACAATAGACAGGTCTACACGGCAAACAATAATATTTGGGAAATACCCACTCCTTATACTTCGTTCAAAAATCAACCTTTTTTTTTTTTTTCATGAAAGAGGCAGTAATTACCCAAACACAGAATTCAGAAGGCAGGTAGGATGACAAACAAAGAAGGAATGGAAATGGGGAAGTGAGATGAGAGATGTTGCAATGCGGAGATTACAGTCAATGACGTGATCTACAATGAGTATGAATGGTTGAATGGCAAACTGATTTTTCTCTGTAAAACCCCACCCAACTCAAAATTAAAAGGTTGCTAAAAGATTGTCCCTTTGGAATCCCAGAAACAATCACCAAATCTTCTGAGTTGACCTCTCTATCTTGAATTTGATTGGCCCCACAGAGCCTCAGAAGTCACTGCTTTGACTGGACCTTTTTTTTGACATGGCACCTTAACAAGACTAAGCCAAGTGCGGTGCCGAGAGAGCTTATCTGCAGCCATCCACTGATCACAGAGGCAGACTCTGCATGGTGGGTTTGGAATAAACTGGAACCCTCGTAGCAATACTTTATGGCTCACCTTCATTTGTGAAATGGCTATGGAAAGGATTGAGTGCATTTTTAATTTTTTTAGAAAAATTGAGAAATTTCTCAAATCGAAATTGTAAAGTTATCTGTAAAATCACTATCCTTTAAAAATGTATTACAACTGATAGTGGGACAGGAGGAGAATCAATGGAAATAGAGGAAAGAGCTGGGAGGCAAAGGGTATTTATAGAGCTCTAGATAAAGACATGTACATATACAAA